GCAGGCGCACTGGAGCGGTCGGCAGCCCAGGGGAGCGGGCGCGCCGGGCTGCGCGTCTCCGCGTCTCCGCGTCTCCGCGACGGTGCCGCCTCCTCCAGGCAGTTCTGTGAGGGCGGCGAGGACCCGCCAGCCAGCCGAGAAGGGGGCGTGGACATGGACCTGGCGGCAGCCGCCGACCCCCGGCCCAGCGCCACTGCCTAGGGCGCCCCGAGGGCTCCGTGGGGGCGCGCCCGCCGCCGCGGCGTCTTCAGGGACCTGGGGAGCCCGGCGCTGCTCGGATGGCCCTGCTCCCGCGGCCCGCGCTCCCCCTCCTGCTCTTCCTCCTGGCCGCGGCTGTCAGGTGCCAGGAGCAGGCCCAGAGCACCGACTGGAGGGCCACCCTGAAGACCATCCGGAACGGCGTTCACAAGATCGACACGTATCTGAACGCCGCTTTGGACCTCCTGGGAGGAGAAGACGGGCTCTGCCAGTATAAGTGCAGCGACGGTGAGGGGCGCCCAGGCCCGGCCGGGCTCGTGCTTTCAGGGGGACTGGAATGACGGAGTTCCTGGAGGTCTGGGAGTGACAGATGCAAGGCAGACCTTGCCGGTGTCCTTTGGCCGTGGAAAAACTTAGCCACTGCTAGAATCTTGCCATTCTTGTGATTGAGCAACCTGAGCGCGAGTTCGCACCACTATTGTTAGAATGTGAGAGGTCGCCTGCGTGTGTCCTCTTCGTTCTGTTGTCATTGCTTCTGAATTACCTATTTTTTTTTTCCAGTTGCACGAAGTTGCCTAAGAACTTATTGACGTAGGAATCATGGGAATGGAGTGGAACAGACTGATTTTAGCTCTACATTTTTGCTCTTGTAAATTAGCCGAACATGCAAGCAAACCGAGAATTTTCAAATCATGCTGTTAACTTTCTCGAGAATTGCTCTTCGATGGTTTTGTTCTGCAAAGCTACAGAAAATAAGTTGCGACCTTTGCACAGACTTTCAGTGTACTCAAGTGTTGAGAAAGAGTTCTGATAATTCTTCTAGAAAATAGTCTCTCAAAACTTAACAGTTTTCTTTCTTTGGATATCAGTGACCCCTTCTAATTGTTGGTTAACATGAATATAATTGTTTCCATCTACTCTTCATTTTTTAAAAAACTTTAATTCTGTTTGAATCTGAGAACTTGTTTGGTGGCAATGTGAGTGCATAAACTTAGGCAGGTTCTTTTGAAGCACTTGACTTTTTTTGAATGCTTAAATATTTTAATAGTTCAGAATAAGTACTTGGACTTCTGCTTGGAAATTCACAATGTTAAGATAGCACTTAGGAGATCATATTTCCAGTAAAATTATCCAAGGTCATGATCTCGTTCATGCCGGCAGCTGAAAATAGTAGGGAACCCAGTGACTTTAAGGTTAAATCCTGAGTGATTGTAGGTGAACTTAAAAGGAATCTATATCATGTAAAACTGATGTCACCTGCTGTTTATAATTCTCAAAATAATTTCTAGTTTTATGTTAATAGAGGTAAAGAATGAGTTGTGTCTTGTATGCTTTTTAAGGTTCTGAACAAGTGCTGAGATATGTTTCATTGCTTCCTAAATTTATGCCTAAATGGCACCACCAGTATGCATCAAGAAGGATGTTTTTTTTCCTTGCAGAACCTATTACGAGGAATAAGCAAATAATTTAGGAATTCAATGGTTACTTTTCCAAAACTATATAGTTTTACTTAGTCATTCCCTTTCATTATACAAATATTTGGTCCCGACTATAGGTCAGATGTTGTTCTAATTGGTGATTGCAGTGAACACAACAGACAAAGTCTGTGTCCATGGAGCTTATGTTCTGGTGGGGAGACAGTCAATAAACTAATGAGGCAAAATAGAGTAAGTATGGAGTGGTGTAGGCCTGTACATTTGCCAGTGCTTTGAGTACAATAGAACAGGGGAGACAGCGGCTGTGTTTGTGGCGATTCACTCTTCTAAATAGGTTGCTCAGGAAAGAGGTAAAGGAGACACTGGTAATCTGGGGAAAGAGCATTCCAGGCAGAAGGAACAGTAAGTACAAAGGACTTAAGGACAAAGACCTGTCAAGCATGACTCCGAAGGTTTTGGCCTGAGCCAAAGGAAAGATGCTGTTGACATTTACAGAGAAATAAGACATTTACAAGTCCAATAACTTTATTATGATTCCAGGGTTATAAAGTTTATTTTTATTTTATTTTATTTTGAGTTGGAGTCTCACTCTGTCGCCCAGACTGGAGTGCAGTGGCTGCTCCCGGCCACCTCAGCCTCCACCTGCTGGGCTCCGGCGAGCCTTCTGCCTCAGCCTTCCGAGTAGCCGGAATTACAGGCATGTGCTACCACGCCCAGCTAATTTTTTGATTTATTGTAGAGATGAGGTCTCGCCTGCCCAGGCAGGTCTCAAACCCGCGGGCTCAGGCAATGCACTCACTTCAGCCTCCCAAAGGCGCAGGATTACAGGCTGAGCCACCGAGCCTGGCTTATTTTATTTTTTTGAGTTGGAGTCTCACTTTGTTGCCCAGACTGGAGTGCAGTGGCCGCTCCCGGGCACCGCAGCCTCGACCTGCTGGGCTCCGGCGATCCTTCCGCTTCAGCCTTCCAAGTAACTGGAACTACAGGCGCGCACTACCACGCCTGGCTAATTTTTTTATTTGAATTATTGTAGAGATGAGGGCTCACCAAGTTGTCCAGGCGGGTCTTGAACTCGCGGGCTCAGGCAATCCACTCACCTCAGCCTCCCAAGGTGCGGGATTGCAGGCTGAGCCACCGAGCCCTGCCATAAAGTTTATTTACATTTAAAATATTCCTGAAGTTGAATGAATACAAGTCCTAGTAAAAGATTGTTTTAATTTTTCTTTTAAATATTTTTTATTTCCTACAAGCCTCTCAAAATTTACCATTTGGAGCAGGATCTCCAGCATAAAAAACACAAATGAATTTGAGAATTTAAGAAATGGTATGTGCCTCAGTGAAAATCTTTTTGTGTCTTAGTAAGTTCTATCGGTTCAGCGGACATATGATTCCAAGTCACCATACTGATAATTCCAACTTAATGAATTATTTTTAAAAATTGCTGTTATTTGAGAAGTCTCCTTGGAACAATGAGTCAGCCTTTCCTTTATTTTGGAATGCAAATCATCAAATCAGAGAACCAGAAAAACCCTAATGCTAGAGGGAACACAGTGATTAAGGGGTGTTTTTTAGTTGCAAGAAAAAGATCAAGGGAGCTTTGGGGGGAAAAAAGAGTTAATGGCAGGGAGAGGGTGGTCAGATTAAAAGGCACAGGCATGTTGCACTGAGCCATTCTAGGAACTGGGATTATGGAGATTTGGCCTTCCTCCCTTGGGTAGGAAAAAAGCTTTATTGAGAGTTAAGTAAGGTTATGTAGGGAAATAAGTGAGATCATTCTGTTTTTTAAAACTTTTTTCTCCCTAACAGCAGAGAAAATTTGAGGAAGAAAACTTTTCAATTTTCCTCAAAATGTGTAAAATAAAATTGACTTGTAAATGTTTGTTTTTAGACTTATGAATAAGTCATTAATTCATTCAGTGATGTATGTTTTCTCGGACTCCCTCTGGCTCTTGTGCTGAGAATAAGAGGGATCCTCGGGGTGTGGAACAAGAATGGAAGCAGAGTGACACATGCAGGGGTCCAGAGAGAGTTTTGTCCAGGTTGGTTGCAATAAAGGTAGTGAGAAGTGTCTGGATTTTTATGTATTTTGAAGGAAGAACCTTTTTATGTATTTTGAAGGAAGAACCTCTTCCTTGCTTGGAAGAGGGATGTGAGTAGAGTCAAAAATTATGCCAATATTTTTGGCCTGACCAACTGGAAGGATGGAATTGCCATTAATTGAAATGGGAAAGACCACAGAAAGATCAGTTTTTAGGCAGTAGGAAAAATAGCAGCATATTTGTATGCCTTTGAGAATGAAACACTCAAGGAAAAAATGGGAGAGAATTATGGAATCATTCATATCTTTGGGTAAGTGAGAGGACTGGTTTCCAGCACACGCATAGAGAGATTGGCTGATAACTTGCAGCACATCCCTATTAATAGTAACAAAGCAGGGGATATGGGCATAGATGCAGGTGAATGCCCAGTTTTCCTGATTGCCTCAGTGTTCTCAGTAAAGTGGGACAAGGTCATCAGTTGAAAGAGGAGATGGGAATGGGGATGTTGGAAATTTGAAGGTGATAAAAGGACTGGACAAGAAAACTAGAGTAGCATAAGACTCTGTGGATATTTATGGTCAGGAATTTTTAGTCTGAGTGCTTGGGAGTGCAGGTTGGGGTCTTATCACCATGTTTTGTGGACATGTGGTAAGATCTTTGTGTGACCCAGCATACTTTCCCTTAGGCTTCTCAGAGGGTCTATATTCTTTAAGGTTTAAAAAAAAGGTCTATTTGGAAGTATTTACATCACATTTAGGAAAAATACACAGAAAATAACTAACTTTGTCTCAGTCCAGGAAAATATTTAGATTTCAGCAGTCTATACAGACGAAAAGATGTGGCCAGGCTCGGTGGCTCAGCCTGTAATTCCACGCTTTGGGAGGCCGAGGTGAGTGAACTGCCTGAGCCCGCAGGTTCAAGACCTGCCTGGGCAACTTGGCGAGACCACATCTCTACAATAAATCAAAAAAATTAGCCGGTTGTGGTAGCGTGCGCCTGTAGTTCCAGCTACTTGGAAGGCTGAGGCAGAAGGATCGCCGGAGCCCAGCAGGCGAGGCCATGGTAGCCAGGAGCGTGCTACGGGCGACAGAGTGAGACTCCAAATCAAAAAAAAAAAAAAAAAAAGTAAACGATTAAGAGAAGTGAACTGTTCCTTAGTAAAAAATAGAAATTGATTGATAGTATCTCCATGGGTTTGTATACAGTGAATTTGATTTTTTTTTCTTCCCTTCTCATTTTTTCCTTAGTTTTCTGTTTGTGCTTACGAATTTTAGAGGCAGTGTTTCCAGTACATCGTGGTGTTTTAGTCTGACTATTATTTCATTTCTCCCATTATTGAGGTTTTGCTTGCTTTGTAAAAATTGGCACCAGTAAAAATGTTAATTTTTAAAATATTTAACAGCTTATAGCACCATTTATAACAGAATTTAAAATGATATTAATACATTTGTGATTATGGCATCTGAATCAAGTTAGTCTTTATAAATAACTTTCTATATAACTTGTTCAGAAATAATTATTTCTATTTAAGGGTAAATTTAGAATTTCAAAACACTCAAAGTGCTTTAGGAAACTAGTTCCAAGTTTTCATTATTTTGTTGTAGATAAACAATATTTTAATTTCAGCAAGGAATCATCAGGTAATTTCTTGGGTTCCCACTGTGTGCCAGACATCTTCTAGGTGAGCAAGACTAAGTTCCTGTCCTCATAGAAACTGACTAAAGTTACACTGATTTGATCTGTAAATGCTAGAAAGACAGGGGGTGCTATTCTAGATGGTGTAAGCAGGGAAGGCCTTTCTGAGGAAATGACAGTAGGAGGTTACTTCTTCTAAAAAAAGGAGACATGAGAAGAGAATATTAGAAATCCACGTCTTTAAAACTCTTGGCCCATATCAGTTGTTTGAGGATGGTACTCTTTGCTTCTCATGGAAAAGGGAGAGGTACCAGAAATCTGGAGACTGGCAGATGGGAGAGGAAATGAATATACAAAGTGTTCAAAAAGTTGGAAACATTGGATAAACAATATGTTAATTACTTTTGTTTTTGGAGACAGGATCTGACTCTGTCGTCCAGGCTAGAGTGTAGTGGCACAGTCATGGCTCACCGCAGCCTTGAACTCCTAGGGTCAGGTGCACCACCACACCCAGCTAATTTTTAAAATATTTTTTATAGAGACAAGATCTTGTTGTGTTGTCCAGACTGGTCTCCAACTCGAACAGTGATTCCCCTTCCTTGGCTTCCCAAAGTACTGGGATTACAGGCATGAGCCACCATGTCCAACTTACACGTTTAAATAATATACTCAATATGTTTTTTCTTCAACCTCCAGATATCTTTTTAGGTGATATACTTCTAAATTTAAAGCAGTAAGTTCAGTTGTTAATCTGAAAAACCTACATGTAAATATACTGTTTTTCCTGTTTCCAGACTTTTTAAAAACACTCTGTGGTATATTTATTGTACTTTTTTCAAATAACAATTTGACCCATTACTTCTTATGTATCTCTAAATAAGTTTCCTAAATATTTTAAACAGATTGTTAAAACTCCTAATAAGAGAAGGCTTCCTGATGAAGCTTAAGTAAGTAGAATGTTTTTCCCAAGCATAAAATGCAGATCCAGCGTCTCTCCCTTTCTGTAGTAGGACAAACCCATACATAAATGTGTAGTTGCTCATGATGTTCCCATGAGAAAGGCAGACTTGATAAAACTTGATTTGGATGAAGTCACAGCTGATTGTGCAGTACACTCAAAGGATTGAACTGATGACTTCGCGGCTGCTTAGAGAGAACACTCATCTGTAGCAGGGTGTTGCTGACCTCTGTCCTGATTAATAGCGGTCTCAAGTTTGTGAATATCTGGGAGCAATAGGTAACACTGGATGAACAGTTCTAGATTTTAAAACTGCTGAGCAGTTCTGAATGATGAACTAAAACAAGATGGAATTTACAATGTTGTATTTAGACTCAAAAATTAAATTGCAAAAGTGCTGAGCCTCTCTTGCTTAGATATTAAAAAGTTCATTTTAGAAAGAAGGTTATTTTTTACTGTTGTCTGATATATGTAAGCACTGAAACATAGCTAAAACATGCAATCTTAGGCTGTGTTAATTTGAGTACTTGAGCTCAAAAGATGAAAAAGCTCATCTTACCTAATGTTCAATTTAGGGTGCTACATTTGAAAAAGAGTGACAAACTAGGAGTGGTCAGTATTTGGAAACTGATGAATGTTCACCAAACTCAAAAGCTGCTGAAGAGTAAACAGCAGTACCAGTTAAGTGTTATAAATGCCATGAGGATTAACCTTCCAAGTCTCCTATTTGTTATTCATTTATGAACTATTTTTTGCAAACCTAACCATTTACCAGGCACTGTTCTAGGCATTGGAAATACAAAATAGACAAAAATTTCTGCTCTCAAAGTACTTTAGAATGAGGGGACAGATAATAAACAAAATAAGTAGATCAGTGTCACAGTATGTTAGAGGGTCATAAGAGCTACAAGTGATATAATTAGATGACCTTGCTGAGAAGATGAATATCTTATTCTGTTTGGGCTGCTATAACAAAATACCATAAACTGGGTGATTTACAACAACAGAAATTGATTTTTCAATGTTCTGGAGGCTGTGTAGTACAAGATCAAGGAACTGGCAGATTCAGTGTCTGGCATGGGCGCACTTCCTAGTTCATAAATGGTGCCTTCTAGCTATCTGCACATGGTGGTGGAAAGGACAGGGCAGCTCTCTGAGGGCACTTGTATAAGGGCACTAATTCCATTCATGAGGGCTCTGCTCTCATGACCTCATCACCTCCAGTAGTCCCACCTCCTAATACCATCATGTTGGTGATTAGGTTTCAACATATGAATTAGGAGGTGACGTAAACATTCACACTGTAGCAATGGAGGAGAAACTATGTAGATATCAGGAGAAAGCATCCACATAGAGAAACAGTAGGTTCAAAGGCCCTGAGACAGGAGCAGACCTGGAGTGCCTGTAGAACAGCAAAGAGGAATGGACTGAGGTAGAAAGGAAAAGAGAGAATAGTGAGGAGATGAGGTCACAGAAGTCATGAGAGGCTTTACAGACTTTGGCTTTTATTCTGAATAAGATGAGAAGTCATTAGACGGGGTTTGGAGCAGAAGACACTCTACCTAACATATATTTTAATACAATCACTCAGATGTTGAGATTGGACAGTGACTGGGGGAAAGTATACCAAGGTAGGGAGACAGGGAGGCTAGTAAGGAGTTTATAGCAATAATCCATGGTGGTTTGGAACAGGATAGTTAGTGGGGGTGGTGAGAAGTGGTCAGCTTCTGAATATTTTGAAGGTGGTGTCAGCAGAATATGCCATTGAATTGAATGTGGCGTATAAGAACTTAAATGTCCAGAATGGTGAACATTTTTGTTCTGAGTATCTGGAAAGATGGAGTTGCCATTAACTGAGAAGAGGATACTGTCGATGGAGCAGGTTTGGGGTGAATGTCAAGAGGGACATCTTAAGTTTGGGATGCCCATTAGGTATCCAAGTGTAACCATATCCTCCCTAACCCTTGTAGGCCCTTGCAAGTGGGAAGCCAGTTCATAAATTGTTTTCTTCGAATGAGGGACTAAAATCAGGAGATAAGAGTTGAAGGATCACAATGACTGTGATAGCCTGAGGCATCTACCTTCATCTTTCAAGGCCCAGAAACAACCTTTCTTGCTGTGCTGGAGACCAAGTTCTGTTATTGGCCTCCTACTTTTTTAATTTATTTATTTTTTTTGAGTTGGAGTCTCACTCGGTCGCCCAGACTAGAGTGCAGTGGCCGCTCCCGGCCACCGCAGCCTCGCCTGCTGGGCTCTGGCGATCCTTCCGCCTCAGCCTTCCGAGTAGCCGGAATTACAGGCATGCGCTACCACGCCCAGCTGATTTTTTGATTTATTGTAGAGATGAGGTCTCGCTGCCCAGGCGGGTCTCGAACCTGCAGGCTCAGGCAATCCACTCACCTCAGCCTCCCAAAGGCACGGGATTACAGGTTGAGCCACCGAGCCCGGCTGGCCTCCTACTTTCTAGACTCATCTTAACATTTTCTTTTGGATACATTATTCCTTCAGGGTTGGTGGAAGCAGGTTATAGCTATATCTCTCCAGAGGTTCTCTCTCTTGAGGCTGTACTTGTACTCAGTTGACTATGGAACTTCTTAGCAACTCACTTTTCACTCATTATTTTGAGTGAGTTACTTATTTTGATGGCTGAATACTGAGAGTTTTTTCCCCTTTCACTTTACTTTGGGAGGGTAATCTTATCTTCAAGTCTCCTAGAATGAATGCTAGAATGCTAGTTGAATGAAAGATGCTATTCCACAGTGGAATGGATTGTTTCTTGATGTACGAGGATTGCTGGAAAAATTCAGAGGCAGTAAGTGACTGGTGGATTGAAGTGATTTCTGTACAAGCATACCTGATTTTAATGTGTTTTACTTTATTGCACTTTGCAGATAATTGTGTTTTTTTTACAAATTGAAGATTTGTAGCAACCCTACATTGAGCTGGTCTGTTGGTATCGTTTTTGCAACAGCATGTGCCTACTTGGTGTCTCTATGTCAGCATGTTTTAGCAATAAGGTATTTTTTGCTCTGCTTTGTCCATGTTGAGACAATAAAGTATTTTGAAGTTGAGGTATGTGCACTGGTTTTGTTTTTTTTTTTTTTAGACATAATGCTATTGCACACTTAACAGTGTAAACATAACTTTTATATGCACTGGGAAACCAAATTTGTGTGACTTGCTTTGTTGCGACATTGGCTTTATTGTGATGATCTGTAACTGAACCCACAAGGTCTCCAAGGTATAGTTACATTAAATGAGATGCGATATTTTTGAAGTGCCTTCCAGAATTTAATCCTGCTATGATAATGTCATCTTTTTCCTTGATACTGAACCATTGGTGCTATTGGGGACTATTAGTATAGCTGGAATGCTATAGTTCACTGAGTACTCGCTTGACCTTTTTCCTTAGCTGGCAAAGAAGCATATTTGTGAAATGATTGACTAAAGTGAGGGGCACAGTGTATGATCCTGTAATGTCTTGTAATGGTATTAAAGTTATTAAATCATCATCAGATGACTTTGTCTTCCTTAGCTTTAGGTTCTAACTGTGTAAACTGGCTAGTTAATGGTTATTGAGGTTTGTGTGCAATGGCGCATTTGCTGAAGGTTGGGAAGATACTGTTCTTGCCCTAAAATGTTAGTGTGTACAGGAAAACAGGGCAGATATATCCTTCACGCATATGGACCCAGTCTGGCATGTAACCTCTGAAATATCCAGAAGTTCAGGAAAAGCTTTTGTATGTTTTATATGGCATAGGTTTATAAATAATTATATTATTGGGAAACCCCCTTGGGTCCCCTCCCACTGTAGTAACTTTTCTGTCCTCTCAATAAATCCTGCTTTCTAAAAAAAAAACATTATATTATTAACTGCTCTGTATGAATATATGTGCATATTTGTATATATTCCACATTCTTCACTGGAGAAATAAAAATAATTAGGTAGACAAGTTAGCGTTCCTAATGTTTATCAGAATAAAGACATTCACTTACGTCAGCATCCATATAAATATTAAGCATTTTTAAGGCTTGTCTAGCGTACTGTCAACCTATTTGCATATGTACTGTATTTCTATCATATTTGAAAACTAATTATGTTACCATTTATATTTTATAGGATCAAAGCCCTTTCCACGTTATGGTTATAAACCCTCCCCACCGAATGGATGTGGTTCTCCATTGTTTGGTGTTCATGTAAATATTGTTTTTTATTTGAAAAGTTTTATGACTGGTAGGCCATATAATACTTTTGTTAGTGTAAGACTGTCAGTGTGTTCTTAGGTTCACAGATAATTTAGCTTGGTGTAATAGTGATCAGTTTATTATATTCTTTTATGGAAAAACATATTTAATAACGCCTAACATAACTAGATGGAGTGAAATTAATGTTTTTGATTCTTATAGATTTTGATACTATTTAAATGGTATTTCCTAATGTCACAAACGTTGAAAAATTTGGAGTACAGAAGTAATACTACTTAGGGGAAAATATTCTAGATAAGGCACGTTTTTTACATTAAAACAAGGCCAAGTGGGATTGTTGTAGGGAAGTATTATGGGGGAAAAGTATTTATGAGAATGATTCTTAGATATAATAATTTTGCATATAAAGTTTTAAAAATATAATTAAAGGTAAGTTATCGATTCAGAGTAAAATATCTTTGGGGAATAGATAAATACTAATTAAAGGTTAAAAAATAAAAACCAAAATGTGAGTTGTAGAAGCTTAAAAGTTTTCTGTGACATTTCACACGAAGTAAATTTTTCATTAGGGGTAAGGAGATACAAAACACTTCAAATATCAAAAAAAGTCATACTTGTCTAGCCCCTGGAGAAATCTTGAATGCCCTCCCTTAGTCCTACCCTAAGGCATAAAACTATGTTTTTATGTTTTGGACTATTGGAAGTTGTTTGTTACTGGCAAATAGCTGTGAGTATTTGAACACTACAGAATAGGGCCAGCAAGGCATGGCTGAGATGGAGTAACACAAGTGGGTGTGGGTAAGAGTAATGGGGAGACTTAATTTTTTTTTTCTGTCGAGGTCTTTGTCACCCAGGCGGGAGTGCAGCCTACACTAGGACTAGCTCAGCATGTTCTGAGTAAGGATGACCTAGCAGATTTGGGATGAGGGCACCTTTTAAAGTCTTATTGAATGCTTTATGTTTGTATAGGATTTACATAGATTATATAGAAATCTTTCACATATATTATGATTATGGCTATCATAGCTAATGGCGGCCTCAACCTCCTGGACTCAGGTGATCCTTCCACCTCAGCATCTCGAATAGCTGGGACTACAGGCACACACCACCACACCCAGCTATTTTTTTATTTTTTGAAGAGATGAGGTTTTGCTGTGTTGCACAGGCTGGTCTTGAACTCCTGGGTTCAAGCAGTCCGCCTACTTCAGCCTCCCAAAGTGCTAGGATTACAGGCGTGAGCCACAGCACCTGGCCAAGAGACTTACTACATGGAAAACATCTGTAGGCAGAAGTGGATTTTGGAATTATATATTTGATACTCATTGTCATTTATTTCTATTAAGTCTGTTTGAATGCAGTACTTCAACAGAAGAGTTTCGCATTTCATTGACAATAATCCATCCAAATTTCTCTTACAGCTTAACATTGGTATCCCTTCCCTGACAAAGTGCTGCAACCAACATGACAGGTGCTATGAGACCTGTGGCAAAAGCAAGAACGACTGTGATGAGGCGTTCCAGTATTGTCTCTCTAAGATCTGCCGAGATGTGCAGAAAACACTAGGACTAACTCAGCACGTTCAGGGTAAGGATCACCAGGCAGGTTCGGGATGAGGGTACCTTTTAAAGTTTTATCGAATGCTTTATGTTTTGGTATAGGATTTACCAATAGAAATCTTTCACATATATTATCTGTTGTGACATGGACTGTTCAATTTTTTGAGGTGAGCAGCTGATAATTTTGTAATCTAAATTGCTTTATAGTCACAGAAGCAAAAAGTGTTAGGAACCTGTGGGAGGAAGGTGTCTGAGGCAGAGAGAAAGAGAATTCGTCCACCTTGTCCCCCGAGATGTATCCCTAATCACCCAGAGTCTTAAAATTTGAAATTCTGTATCCAGTTGTCTCGAGTGTGTCTGACGGTTATAACAAACTGCCATAGACGAGTAGCTCATAAACAACAGAAATTTATTTCTCACAATTTTGGAGGCCAGGAAGTACCAGATCAAGGCACCAGCAGATTTGGTGTCTGGCGAGGTTCATTTTCTGGTTTGTAGATGGTACCTTCTAGCTGTGTCTTCACACAGCGGAGGGGACTAGACAGCTTTCTGGGACATTTTTTATAAGGGCACTAATCCTACTTATGAGGCTGCTATCTCTGTGACTTTAATCACCTCCCAAAGGTCTCACCTTCTAATTTCATCACCTTGGAGCTTAGGAATTCAACATGAATTTTGGAGATACACAAACATCCACACCATAGCACCAGTGAATTTAAGAGTGTAGCACTCTGGATTTGGAGTAGGTATTCTAGAAGATTGGTCTTAACTTTGTCTCTTCTTCTTATATATCTGTTGGAAAGGTCCCCCAAACCACCCCCAGATTCAGTGAGGACTCATAGGACTCAGTATATAGTTGTACTTTCTGCTACGATTCAGCAAAGGAAAAAGTCCCTTTTGTTATCCTCATTTTTTAAATGGAGAGAATGATAATAGTTACCTCATAGAGTTGTCATAAGGGGGAAAATGAAATATTGGGGGAAATGAAATATTTGCTGAAATGCAAATCACTATTTAAATACTAGTAGTTATAAGATTTCTCTACTGTCAAGTCAAAGGATATCATACACTTAATTCAGAAGAGGAAGGGCAGTGGGAAGGGGCAGAAAAGGAAACTTACATTTTTAAGCACTTTGTCATAAGATCCTGTGCTAGATACTTTATTCATGTTTTCATTTGATACTCACAAACCCCAGAGGTAGGTGGTGTTATCCCCATTGTTCAAGGAAGCAAACTGAGTTTTTCTTTTGTTGTTGTTGCTGTTGTTGTTGAGTTGGAGTCTCAGTCTGTCGCCCAGGCTGGAGTGCAGTGGCATGCTCATGGCCACCACAGCCTCGACCTGCTGGGCTCAGGTGATCCTTCTGCCTTCAGCCTTCCAAGTGGCTAGAACTCCAGACATGCACCTCCATGCCCGGTTAATTTTTTGATTTATTGTAGAGATGAGGTCTCGCCAAATTGCTTAGGCTGGTCTCGAACCCATGGGCTCAGACAATCTTCTCACCTCAGCCTCCCAAAGTGCTGGGATTATAGGCATGTGCCACCATGCAAACTGAGTTTCAGAAAGAAATAACTTGCCCCAAGTTGACTTTTAGACTACCTGACTCCAAAATCTATGTTCTGTTGACTACAGTATTCTCCATATAGTCTTGTATTATAGCTCTGATTCTAATGTCCCAATAATAACTACTGACAAAGAAATCTCTGCTACAAGTGACACTTGAATTCACCTTCATATTTCCTTGCAGCCGTTGGCTAAGCTAAGATATACAGCTATAACTGTCTGTATTTCAGAAGCATAGATGGATTTATTTCCTATTTTTTGACCTAAGAAGGACATGAAACCGATTATCTTCCAATCTTCTATTTACTAGTCATAGCCTCTATATTTCTGTGACTGATTGTTCCTTAATGACACGTTCCTCGGAGAACCTTAAAACTGTTAAGATTTTTAATGAAGAGTTTTTTTTCTTAACGTGAATATTTAAAACTGAAAGTATTTGGATATCTAAAAGCCAGTCTGTGTTGTATCTCTATAAGCATAACATGTTAAGATGATTTCTCCTGAGTGTTTCAGGTTTCTTAGAATAAGAAGAGTAAGTCTATTGCCTTTTTAATAGTCTTTAAAAAACATTAAGATCCTACCAGGGAAAATACAATTTTGATTCCCATGTTTTCCCAACCCCTAGCCAGTTTGGTTATTGGTCAAAGAAAGTGACCAGAGCTCATTTACTTTAAACATCTTAAATGACGAATGATTAGTTCTCAGACCTCAGAAGCTATTGGCCCTCGTGAAATGTTTTGGTTTCTGTTTTTAAACTTTATTTCTGCGACTAAAGCACCTTTTGTCAAAATGCAAATTTTAAGAGTATTATTCGGCATCTCTGTTAGTGATTCTGTTTTCAAATACAAGAAAAGTTTACACTAATAACTCATCAGTGTTATTGATAAAGACTTATTTGTCTAATATAAACACAACTGGGTTGAACAGTTGAATGCAAACAAAAAATAAAAACTATGTAAAGAGACTAAAGCTGGAAGTATTTCTCTCTAGATAGGCACACACACACACTCACTCACTCACTCACACACACTACTGGTCTGTGAGGGTTTGAGGTGCCTTTCATCTGACATCCATTCAAGTGCTCACTAGGAATGTGCTTGACACTGTGCTGTAACGTGTAATGTCAGTGAAAAGAGAGCGGTGCTTTGCAGTTGCCTGACAGTAATAATATTTTCTTACTTTACAGCCTGTGAAACAACAGTGGAGCTCTTGTTTGACAGTGTTATACATTTAGGCTGTAAACCATACCTGGACAGCCAACGAGCTGCATGTAGGTGTCGCTATGAAGAAAAGGCTGATCTTTAAAGAAGATGCTGACAGCTGGTGACAGATGAGGATGAAAGAACATAACCTATGACAAATAACTAATATTTTTGCAGCATAAAGCTGACTTCTTTTTGCAAAAGGATTATTTTAAAGACATTACAAGAGTTTCTATTTTGACATTAAAACCTCAAGGTGAAAACAAAACAAGTGGAGGGGAGGGTGATGAGGGCATACCTGCCTTCCCAGGTGTCTTCCTGGGTGTTGTTGCCTTAGTATGCCAATGTCTTGACCAGTCTCAAAAATATGTGTGTGTTAAGGGGAGAATTTTTGAAAAGAATGTGTACTCAGTTTTTGTAACCATATTTACGAAAAAAAAAAGAGATCAGATATAAAATTCATCATAAGGTTTGTTCAACATTATCTTATTTGGAAATATGGGAAAATCTTCACTTAGAAGTATTATTTGTTTACTATGAAATTTTAATACAGATTTATGCCTGGAAAGAACTGACTTTATTTTTTATCTGTTTTGATTACACATGATATTTTGTTTTTCTGTAGCCCATTGAGCATATGAGTAAGTCATATATTTTTTTTTTTTTTTTTTTGAGTGGGAGTCTCCACCGCCCAGCCTGGAATGCAATGGCATGCTTATGGCCACCATAGCCTTAACCTGCTGGGCTCAGGTAATCCTTCCACCTCAGCCTTCCAAGTAGCTGGAACCACAGGCATGTGCCAACATGCCCAGGTAATTTTTTAATTTATTGTAGAGTCGAGGTCTTGCCTTGTTGCTCAGGCTGGTCTTGAACCCCTGAGCTCAGGCAGTCCTCTCGCCTCTGCCTCCCAAAGTGCTGAGATTACAAGCCTGAGCCACCGTACCCGACCAATGCCATTTTTCTTTTCCAGGATCCAGGCTAGGACACCACATTGCATTAGTCATCATGCTTAATTAACTTGTGGTCTGTTGGTGGCCCCTCAGTCTTTCCTTGTTTTTCGTAACTTTGACAGTTTTGAGGAGTACTGATCAGGTGTTTTGTAGAATGTCCCTAAGTTTGGGTTTGTCTGATGTTTTCCTCATGATGAGACTAGGGTCATGGATTTTTTTTTTTTTTTTTTTTTTGAGTTGGAGTCTCACTCTGTTACCCAGACTAGAGTGCAGTGGCTGCTCCTGGCCGCTGCAGCCTCGACCCACTGGACTCCGGCGATCCTTCTGCCTAAGCCTTCCGAGTAGCTGGAATTACAGGCACGCTCTACCACACTGGGCTGATTTTTTAATTTATTGTAGAGATGAGGTCTTGCCAAGTTGCCCAGGCGGGTCTCGAACGCATGGACTCAGGCAATTCACTCACCTCAGCCTCCCAAAGCGTGGGATTACAGGCTGAGCCACCGAGCCCGGCTGGGTCATGGATGTTTTAGGAAGAATACCAGAGGTGAAGAAGGGTTCTTCTCACTGGGTCATATCAGGAGTTACGTGCTATCAACTTTATGTTGTACTAACTGAACACTTGGTTAAGGTAGTGTCTGTTGGTTTTCTCTTCTGTAAAGTTAATGTTTTTTCCTTTCTATACTTCTGTTCTTTGGAAGCTGGTTACCAAGTCTAGTCTATGGGAGGTGGGAGGTGGGCAAGATTATATTCAACCTCCTGGAAAAGGAAATATCTATATATAGTACTTGGAATTCTTCTGGGAGAAAGATTTGTCTCCCCCACCCCATTTATTTATTTATATCAGTATGGATTCATGTATTTTTATTTGACACTTTACATAATACATATTTATTTTGTTGCTCAAATTGTTCCAGCTTGGCCGTTGAAGGTTTTCTTTCAGGCTAGTTCTTGTGTCCCTTTGATATGCCCATGTTTTTTATTTTTGAGCACTACAAAGTGCTCCAGGCTCATCTTGTATATTCCCTGCCCCTGTGCTAGAATCAGCCCCTGTTCCAACAGCTCTGGTTTCTTTTGTTGGAAAATGGTACTTAGAAACCAAGATCTGGGCACTGAATGTGCTTGTTGCTACTGAGGTGTCACTGTTCTAGACCCTCCCAGCAGACAGTTGGGAAATATATATGTATATTAACCAATGTATATGTGCATATTTATAATTATTTCTAAATATGTGTACATATTAAGCTAAACATGAGTTCATACTGATGTCTTCAACTCAAATCCTGTCCCACAGGGCATATATTTAGATTTTGAGGTTGATATTTTCCCTATTCACAGAATATATTTATTTTAAAAAGCAAACACCTCTCCCAAAAAACTACCTTTCAGCAGCTTTTTGCAAGAAATATAATATTGATATTTTAGGCCAAGGATAGTAACTCATGCCTATAATCCTGGCACTTTGAGAGGCCAAGGCTGGTGGGTTACTTGAGCCCAAGAGTTTGAGACCAGCCAACCAACTTAGTGAGATCTTTTCTCTACAGGAAAAAAAAAAAATTAGCCAGGTGTGATGAAACATGCCTGTAGTCCCAGCCACTTGGGAGGCTGATGCAGGAGGATCGCTTGAGCCCAGGAGTTGGAAGCTGTGGCAAGCCTTGATTGTGCCACTGTACTCCAGCCTGGGTGACTGGGTGAGACCCTGACTCAAAAAAAAAAAAAAAATTGTTTAAGTAATGTTGCATTCAAATAATGCCTGTTTCTCTGAAATCATTTGACACACTTCTTCCAGGGACAGCGATGGCTGTATTCATTTCATAGATGGAGAAACTGAGCACAGAGAAGCTTGTAATGAAGACAGAATTGAGACATAAGGGGAAAGCTAATTAAACGTTCTGTTGGGCAGGCTTTCCTTTGGTAAACCCCTAGAATAGCCTAAACTAGTAAGACTAATTAAGATTAGTGCTAGGGGCAACCCCTTTGGGTCCCCTTCCACTATGGGAGTTTTTCTGTGCTCTCAGTAAATCCTGCTTTAAAAAAAAAAAAAAAAGATTAGTGCTAGCTTAAAGCCAATTCTCCCTACACTTAAATAAGTTGATTATTTTTATCAGTATTTGTAGAAGTATAAGATTATTAGAAGATGTGATGCAAAGTGCTTATTATTGTATCATGGTACAAGATAGGTATAACATCTAACTGAGTGAAGATGATGGGGTATTTCTATAAAAACAATTCTATGTAGTGGACTTACATCAGTTACTTTGGGAAGTAGAATAAAACCTATTAGGCAAGATCCTTCTATATATGCCACATTGAATTGTTCAAAATTTATAGATGTTACCTCCAATATATTCATTCATGTCTTGTATAATGACTGGTACTGATGCTGGGCACAGTGGCACATGCCAGTAATCCTCAGCACTTTGGGAGGCTGAGGCAAGAGGAATGCCTGAACTCACAGGTTTGAGACCAGCCTGGGCAACTTGGCGAGACCTCATCTCTACAATAAATAAAAAAAATTAACTGGGCATGGTGGTGCTCACCTGTAGTTCCAGCTAATTGGAAGACTGAGGCAGAAGGACTGCCTGAGCCCAGCAGGTAGAGTCTGTGGTAGCCATGAGCGTGCCACTGTACTCCAGCCTGGGCAACAGAGTAAGACTCCAACTCAAAAAAAGAAAAAAAGCATTAGCTAGTTGAAGAAACACTGAAAACAATGACCAAAATTTAAATTTTTGAATTATCTCTGAACTTAATTTTATTCCATCTGTTTCATTCCTTTGATGGGTGACAATCTAAGACCTTCAGTTTCAATAAATTCCATAAAAGTGACTATTCAGATATAGGAAGAATCAAGCCATTCTATCAGCTAGTTAACTTTATGTAACTGAATTATTTTAACAAGATAGATTTGCTGTGGGTTCTTTTTCTTCTTGGAGAGCTTGGTAGGATTCAGTCCATGTTAATGGTCTCAAACATGAACATGCATCAGAATCACTGGAGGGCTTGTTAAAACATGTTGCTGGACCCCACCCTCAGAGTTTCTGATTCAGTAGGTCTGGGGTGGACCAAGAATTTGCATTTCTAACAGGTTCCAAGCTGATGTTAATGCTATTGGTTCATAGACTGAAGTTTGAGAAGTGGTTTAGGCAGTCTCCATTAGCTAAAAATAAGGTACTGAAAGCATACTGTAGGCTAGGTAGTGTTCTAGGAGTTTGGCACTGTCACAAAAACTCTATGGAGTAGATTTGTCACATCTTATAGAGAAGAATTTAAACTGAGAGGTTAAATTACATTACCTGTCCAATGTCTCACAATTAATAAAAAGGAGAGCCAGGATTAGAACCCAGGCAGCCTATTTCCCAGTCCCAGGCACTCGACCATCTTATTGTAGATAGCTATTGCTTTAAGGGCTAGAATTATACATTTATAATTCTGAAATAAGTACTCAAGAAAAAGTTTTCTATTTATGTTTCAAGATAGACAAATCTTACTTTAAAATACATAACCACATAGACCATTGAAGTAATATTCTGAGATAACAAGGTATTTTAAAATAAAATGACCGATTCCTTTCATCTGCTCTTTTCAGATAAGTGGAAAGTCAGGACCCAAACAGAGACCCTGAAAGTGAGACAAAGGACAGGAAGCTCTGGTGGTCAGATCATTTATTCAAATGTTAAAACCCTGAGTCACGTTCAGTGGCTAAATGTTGAGCACCCTCAACATGCTAAGCAACCAGGCTAGGTAATAAGGAAATCAACAAGAGAGCAATACTGCTTTCGATGAGTACAAGAAGGAGCTGGTAATAAAAATAATAACCGATAGTTATTGAGCTATTCACATGGAAGCAGTGTACTGAGTCATTTAACTCAGTCATCATAACCACCATAATGAGGGAGATACTGATTTTCCATGTCTTAGTTGCAGGATAAGTTACTAAGATAGGAATTTCTGAAATAGTTTGTGTTAGGGTATGGACGGACAGGGTGAGGGTGGAGAGGCGAGGCGAGGCGTGCAGCACTGCTGGGGCTGGCAAGCTGGAGGTACGTGCTG